GTGGCCTAAACTGGATAGTGAAATAGAAATGATGGTACGTGAGTGCTCTGTTTGTCAGAATGTTAGGAGTATGCCACCCAGCACACCTTTGAAAACCTGGAAATGGCCTACCTGTCCCTTCCAAAGAGTACACATTGACTTCTGTGATAAGGGAACAGACAAATTTCTTGTATTAATTAATAGTCATTCAAAGTGGATTGATGTTAAGCACATGTACAGTACTAATGCTGGTAGCACCATTGATGAATTAAGATTAATGTTTGCCGAACATGGAATACCAGAAGAGGTAGTTTCTGACAATGGTCTTCCATTCCAATCATCAGAGTTTAAAAACTTCATGAGATTCAACGGTGTAAAGCATGTACTGACCCCACCCTATCATCCTGCCTCTAATGGTGCAGCTGAGAGATCAGTTAGAATTGTAAAGGAAGCACTTTCCAAGCTGGTAATTCAAGGAACTGTAGGAAAATCAATGAAACACAGACTAGCAAATTCCTTACTCAGATACAGAACCACGCCACATAGTGTGACAGGATGTACTCCTGCAGAGTTAATGGTGAAGAGACAGTTGAGAACAAGATTAAGTTTAGTTAAGCCAAGTCTGTTTGAAGTTGTAGAGAGGAAACAAGCTCAACAAAAAATGTATCATGATAAGAGTTCCAGTGAAAGAGTGTTCAAGGTAAATGATAGGGTGAGAGTTAGGAACATGGCTAAAGGTTATGGTACTGTACATGCAAAGTGGATAACTGGTGTCATTGACAAGGTATGTGGATCTAGGACATATTTAGTGAAATGTGGTAACTCTTTGAGATATGTTCATGTGGATCACATCATTCAGGCACATGACGAGATGAATGTAGCACCAGGACATGATGATAAACTTGACACAGTTTCAGATGATCATCACCATGATGATGTCAAAGATGATGTTTCCCAGCATCCACTCACTGTGTCAACTGATTGTAGTGATGATATGTCTGTCACTGATAATGCACAGAGTGCAAGTGAAACCCCTGTAAAACTTGATGGAGGGAATAGTCCTAGAAGATCAAACAGAGTTAGGAGACCTGTAATTAAATTAGACCTCTATTTATCTGAATTGTGAACAGGCCTTTCAAAACTGTTTAGTTAGGAAGATATATTTGTTGTGTTCTATTCTCTTCTTCCCTGCCATAGGTAATTCTGTAAGTTTTGTTTATTTAGGATTTGTAGCAGCCATGCTCTCTTTTGAAAGGGAAAAATAGTGTTATATATATACAGTTAACCCTCACTTTACGAGGTTAATGTAACCCGGAGGGTCCCGCGTAAAGTGAGAAACGTGTAAAGTGAATAACATAACATATGGGATTAATTGAAATGGAGTCCGGGCCGACCCCCAAACTCCACTTTTTGACGACACACAACTATGTTGTAGTAAAAATTTTATCTTAACTTTATGAGGGTATGAAAAAACAAGTAATATAGAAGAGGTTAGGTTAGGAAAAATAAAGGTTAACATAGGAAAAATAAAGGTTAGGTTAGAAAAACTAAAACTTAGGTGGAACACTTACGGTAGTAGAAGAAATGGGTCGGCATACGGGGATGGAGGCTGGTTCCGAGGCAGAGGGCAGATTACTGGCCCTCAGGTGAATCACCATTACTAGGTGAAGCACCATCACTGTCACTATCACTGGCTTGGGCTGGCTGTGGTGGGTTGCGGGCGAAGAACTCGGTTATGCTTTTTTGACGGCTGGTGTTTATGTTGTCGTGATACACCGTGATGTATGGCTCCATAGCCTGCACCAGCCGGGTATGGAAGACTTCATAGCGGTCATCATCATTGTCGCGGGAAAGGAAGGACTTCATTTTCTCTGCACACTCCATGGCACCCTTAATATCACTATGAGTTAAACTGTGTTCTTCGGAGAATGACGCACCTTCTTCCTCCTCTTCACTGACGTGATCTTTTTCCAACATCTCGTCGGCAGTCACTTCAGGATCTCTGATCACCTCCAGGATGTCGTCGTTGGTGGTCTCGGAGAAGCCTGGAACTGTAACAGTCTGCGCAGCTTCTCTGGCAAGGTCCACTGCTACTGCAACATTCTGAACCTCACCAGTCACAGATTGACTCCTCCTCTCACCTGGTATTCCATGCAACACATGTCTCCATGCGTGACGAATTGCAGCAATAGACAGCTGATCCCATGACTCCACCAAGAAGTCCACAGCTTTCTTGATGTTAAATACTCTCTAGAATTGTTTGAACAGTATTTTTTGCTGTTCCAACTGTTGATCCTCATCTTCTTCGCTCTTGCTATCGGTGGTGGTGTCACTCAGGTTACGCAACTCTTCCCTGGTGTTGGTGTAGTCGTTCAGGAGCTGGAATTTTTTTGTTGAGAATGCAGCTTTTACATTACAGATTAACTCTTGGTCCATGGGCTGTAATATAGACGTAGTGTTGGGAGGAAGGAAGACCACTTTTACGTTGGGGTGACAATCTAACAGTAGGGGCGAGTGTCCTGGTGCGTTGTCCAGCAGCAACAAAATATTGAATGGCACATTCTGTCGCTCACAGAATTTCTTTACATCGGGAACAAAACAGTCATCAAACCAGTAGAGGGACAGTGTAGAGAACATCCACGCCTTACGTGCGGTCAGCCAGTGGACATTTAGCTTGGTCATGTCCATGGTTTTGTAGGCGTGCGGCTTGTGTGCTGTGTGGATCACCGATAACTTGAGCTTACAGGTACCGGAGGCATTGGTGGTAAACAGGACGGTGATGCGTTCCTTCTGCATTTTCCGGCCCCGAATCCTGCTGGTATTCTTCACAACGAAGGACTTGGAAGGTAGTTTTTTCCAGAAAAGACCAGATTCGTCCATGTTAAACACCTGGTCGTCACTGTACTGTCCTTCCTCCATAATCTCAAGTAAAAACGGAGGAAATTCCCGAGCCGCAGCACGATCAGCACTCGCTTCTTCACCACCAATGTTTATATTGGTGATCTTGTTCCGGATCTTAAACCTCTGTAACCACCCAGAGGAAGCATTAAAGGGTTTGGGCTCTGTAATTCCCATCTTTCGTGCCACTGCATTGTACAGTTCACGTTCGTACTCCTTAACAGAGCGCGTGTCGACCGCCATGTTCCGTCGCGCCTGACACACCAAGTACCTCACAAGTAATTTTTCTGTCTTGAGAAGCACCTGGTTGTGAAAATACTTGATCATAGAAGCACCTGTAGACTTTGTGATCTTCATGTGCTCCTTTATCTTGGCTGCATCCTTCTTTATTGTTCGAATCGTAGATTCATTCACACCATGCTGGCGCGCCAAATCAACCTGCCTTGTTCCTTTCTCCAACTCTTGGATGATGGTATACTTCACTTCGTAGCTTAAGAAACGTCGTGTCTTCTTTGGCTTAGTGCCGCTGGGTCCAGGTTAGGAAAGGTTTCTCTCTGGGGGTGGTGGTCCGGCGGAAGCCATTTTACGGAACAATGGATGCGCGTTTACACGGTGTGGCCTTGAGGGATGAAACTGCCGCGGCTAGGTCAAGCGTCGTCTTTCCTCCCTCCCTCCCTCCCCCGGGTGGACACGTCATAATACTTTAAGCCAATTACAGCTAGCAGCAGAGGGGGGTAGGGATGCATGGCCAATCACAGTCCAATACGTCATATGACGTCAGTGATAACGCAACAAAGACACACACTGCGCAACCTTACCGCGCGGCTTGCCCAAGCGGAGGGAGGAGGAGGGAGAGGCGAGGAGCACAGGCAGGCAAGCGGGCGGGTGGCGGGTGGGGCGAATCTAAAAATAGCGTCGCGCCGGACACTCTCCGCATAATGGGGTTCACGTACCGCATAATGTGAGCACGTTAGGTTCTGGCAAGGCACCGCGTAAACGTGGAAACGCGGAATGCGGGACCGCGTAAAGTGGGGGTTAACTGTATGTATGTTTATATGCTGCATTTATTGAATGTATATATTATATATTATGTTACTTCTTACGAAATGTGTTAGGCACGTTGTAACCAAGAACAGAGAATAAACAGCCAGCCAGACAGACCATGTGACTCTTCATTCTCCCATTAAATATCCCAAGATACTACCCAATGAGACAGAGCAGCTACACTCCCCGTCACTCATCAAGGGTAACTGACCAGAGTTAAGATGGCGGTGAGGGTAAAGACTCCAGATACTTCCACATAAGTAATTATTTCATAAAACATTAAACAAAATATATTATTGTTTTTTTTTATAACATACATGTGGTGACTATAAATAACGGCTACCAGGGGTCACAAGAGATTTTAATAATGTATTAGCAAAAAGATAATTATATATTAAGTAGATATTTGGTGGGAGTGTTGCCATAATGACCATTTTTTTAAATAACTGAAATTCGAGTAAAAATAAAAAATATATAATATTCTTACAACCTCGTTAATCTGTCTTTACCTATTATTATTATTATTATTATTGTTATATTTTATTATTATTATTAATTACTATTATCAATTATTATTATTATTATTATTATTATTATTATTATTATTATTGTTGTTGTTATTGTTATTGTTATTACTATTATTATTATTATTATTATTATTATTATTATTATTGTTATTATTTTATTTTATTATTATTATTATTATTATTATTATTATTATTATTATCAATTATTATTATTATTATTATTATTATTATTATTAATATTATTATTGTTATTATTATTATTATTATTATTATTATTATTATTATTGTTATTATTATTATTAATATTATTATTATTATTATTCAAGTGTTAGAAGTAACATGTCAAAGGTTAACTAAGTCAACATATCTAACTACCTCAGCAGCTTATTGTCAAACAGCTGTATGATTAATACTGAAATAATGAACTGAATAATATATGCAGATAATTGTTTCCTGTTATTATTTAGGTAATATTTTTAATTTATGGAATAATATCTACTGTAGGTGGGACCCTTTAGTATACTATTGTAAGAATAATGATGTCAAGTTTACCTTTTAAAGACGTCTTGGAGAGCTGAGTCAAGAGAGGGGCTGCAGGTGTCTGGGTGCTTCCAGTGATGGTCCATAGTTATGGCTACATCACAGTTGTTACACGCAGCCACCACCTTCATTAGGTCGACCATGTGGGGAATGTTGTCTGGGTCTCCATCAATTCTTACGGTTATATTGTCTGGTCGACCAAGAGGGAGTAGAGTGGTGTAGACTGACACACTGCTATCTCTGACCCATATGTCACCTGTCACCAAATGTGGAATATGTTTAGCGACGTATTTACACAAGGTAGCGTCACACTTCACGTCATTTATCAGGTCTTCCCACTGACTCTCGTCTGTCATACCGGAAGAGTGGAGAAGGCGGACCAGTTCTTCTGCCTTGTCTTCCTTTACCTCTCCTCCGCCATCAACATATAAAATGCCAGTTAGATGAACCAGAACGTTCTGGTATTTGGTCAGAGTCAGAGACGACGGGTCATCCTTGTGTAGCTCCTGCAGGACCTCCCTGATGGTGCGGGGACCTTGAGACATATTTGGCCTGTCTCCCTGAAGCGAGTCCCTTATATGCAAGGCGCTGTAGAAATCCTGAACTCCCTTGTGGGGGAGGCGCCGATGACTTCCTCGAGCAGAATGTTAACACCTCCACATGTTTCTTTAAGGTTGTCTGTCATCTCTTCTGACACATTTAATGAGTCATCTTTTAGGCTTACAAGGGATTCTCGACACATCACTTTAAAGATCTTTTCAACCTTTCTCTTCACACTACTAGCAGATATAACTGTGTCCGGTTTATCTATCAGTCGTTTCACTAATTTTTCTGTCGTCATATCCTTCACTTTACTGTACAGTTGTGTGGCCGTTGTCATATTCTTTACAGTACTTGGATCTTCGGCCCATATGAGAGTTAAGAATACCAGGTTCATGGGCAATCTTAGGTACTCTCGGAGATGACGTGGCATACTCTCCAGGTACTCTACCAGTTCTTGTGTACTCTGTGTACTCTTGCCAGCTTGTATTAGCTCTCTGTGGTATTTCTCTGCACAAGTTCCAAGACTTTTAGCAGGAATATCAACAAGTCGTAAATGGACAGACCCCAGGTGAGGTGGAAAAGTTTTGTAGAAGTCGTCCACCCTCTCTGGCCTTATAGTACAGACTACAGTAAAGTTATAATTACTTAAGACATCCTGGACCAGTTCTTTTGATGCTGTATTCAACTCGTCGAGGCCATCCACCAGCACGAGGACCTTAAAATGCTGGACACATTTGATCATGTCATCTCCTCGACACTTCTTAGCGGTCTCTGGTATCTGTGTTTCGACGAGCTGTGCAAGAGACCTGATGTGTTGATTTCTGCATTCAACATGGAAGACAAGCAGGAAGTTAGTAAGACCTTGTATGGTGCCCTTGTCGGCCTTCCAATCACTTAGTAGTTTTATCAAGAGGGTCGTCTTACCAGCACCGGCGACACCTTCAATAAGTATGATTCTTTTGCCTTTGTCAATGGCAAGTTTTAGAATGTCTTCATATGGTATATCTTGGGCAGCTGTACCTCGCTCCTCCTTAACTTGGATGGCTGTGAATACAGTGCCAATATTAAGGAAAAAGTCTGTACCGGCAATAAACGACACAGGATTAACATTTGTCAGTTTACCAAACTCCTCCACCAACTCTTGTTTACCAGACTGCTCTATGATGTCAATATTGTAGCTGGTTATATCCTCGGGGTCCAGGAGGTTGTCTCTGATGTAGTTGATGTCTTCATCTATGGTTTTAACCCAGTTATCTACTTCATCTTGATCAATGTTAAACACATCTTTTCCTTCACTATATACGTCTTTCAACAGTTTTCTCAGCTCCTCCGTCTTGTTCTTATAATCCTCAGGACTGACGGCTAACTCCCCGTGAAGCACTTTGTTGCTAAAATGTTTTACAGCTTTGAGTTTTTCCTGAAGGGGGTCCAGCTGGCCACCAGGAGCAAGGCCACACAACAAGGTGATGCACAGGTACAGTAGCGACATGTCATATTGCTGGCCAGAAGGGTCGGCGTCAAGTATCTTAAGCTGTTCCTTATCCAATGTTCTCTTTAACCGTGTACTGTTGAAGCCTTTACTCTCCAGGAACTCAAGAAGCTTCTTTTCTTTGGCCTTCCCCTCCTGACTTGCTGCTCGGGTGTACATATCCAGCAAGACTGGGCGGCCCAGTTTGTTAAGTGTAGTGATGAGTTTTAACCCGTCTCTCTCCTCCCCGGTAGTGGGTGGTGGTGGTGGAGGCGTCGCCATGGTTGGTCATTACTAAGGGACAAAGGTCAACAGTTACTTGAGAGTGCAGCCTCACATTTATAAAGTGTTCATTAAGGTTAGAATACATTTATGAGTAACATTTATTAGAGTGAGCGGCGATAATAACACAAGGATAGATCAACTCAGTGTGCCAGTATTTGTTGCCAGAAAAACTAAACATTTATATAAAACCTTTTTTGATGTACAAATAATGTATATAAGAGTTGTAACATTCTCTTTAATAATCTCTAATATAAGTTGTGGCAACAGTCTCTCTCCTCTCAACTTAATATAAAAACTCGTCCACTGACGCATCACAAATACCAAGAACTGTACAACATTGTTACCATGACAACCAAACTCTCAACAAAGACTAAAATCTTCCCCAGTAAACCAAGGGAACTTAGGAGCCTTAATTGACGGCGCTCAACCCTGGCCGTCATGGGAGACTCGAACTATATGGCCACATCGACTGTACGAATTAAACCGCGCCAAATGACCTTAGTAATCCAGCTACTCTTTTGTAGAAACTCTGGCAGACAATTTTCTGGACCTCATCATAACTAACGAGGACGGTATAGTAGCCACACCTGGCCCCCATTGGCCAAGGTTCAAGTATTACAGTGGTGATTACAACAGGTTGAGGGAGGGTTATTCACTGGCCTGACTCGCTGGTAAACAAGAATGCAGATACTACCCTCAACATTATAGTGAATAACGTGATCTATTTGAGTGATAAATATATAGTTATATACCCAAGACCAAACCCACTGGCTCCAGGGATACAAGGAGGCAGCTACACGTGAACCATGCGGCGGTGGACAAAGTTAACAAGAAAACTAAGAAATTCCAGACGTGGGTTAGGACAGGAGGATGTATGCATGAGCCAGGAACCAAGCTGAGGCAGAGTGTAGAAGGGCTGAAAAAGACTTCCAGAGGCGGAGTGCGAGTGAGGTCAAGTCAAACCCAAAATTTTTTTACCATTATGTAAAGTCAAAATAAAACAATGAGTTTAAGCGTAACAGATCTAAGGCTTGAAGATGGTAGTTACGCAGATTCTGAACAGCTTCTTTTTCTCGGTGTTCACTAGAGAGGATGCTATTAACCTTCCTGCGTTTGAGGACAGACGGTTTGACACAGTACTGACCCACATTGTGTTCACAGAAGAGGTTATTAGAAATAAACTGCCCAGGCTAAAGGTCCATAAGAGTCCCGGCCCTGACATGGTGCATCCCAGAGTGCTAAGAGAGTTGTGCAACGAGCTTGCAGAGCCCCTGAAGATCCTGTTTTGTAAATGCCTGGATGAACAAATGGTCCCCAGTGATTGGAAAGTGGCTTATGTGAGTCCTATCTTCAAGAAGGGCGATCGTCACTCCACGAACAACTATAGACCGGTGAGCCTGACCAGCATAATATGTAAAGTACTTGAGAGTATTATCAGAGATGCCGCGATGGAGCATCTACCACGAAACAACCTTGTAAAGGATTGCCAACACGGTTTTATGCCAGGGCGCTCCTGCTTAACACAATTGCTCAAGGTAAAGGATATTTGAACCCATATTCTGGAACGGGGTGGTAATATCGACAATATATGCCAGGATTTTGCCAAGGCTTTCGACAGTGTACCCCCACGAAAGGCTGAAAATCAAACTGGAAGGGTACGGGATTCGGGGAAATGTCCTAGCATGGTCATGACCGCAAGCAGTGTGTGGTGATTAATGACATGAACTCATCAAGTGTACCCGTCACAGGGTATTGGGCCCGTTGTTGTTTGTTTGTTTCATTAATGACAAGCCAGAAGATATACACTCTTCCTTACTAATGATGAGGACAATGCAAAGTTATTCAGGTAAATTAAGAACCAAACAGACTGTGAAGAGCTATAGAAAGATCTCTGTCAGCTTCAGGAGTAGTCAAAGGAATGGATTTAATGTTAGGAAGGGCAAGAGGACGTTGGTGGTACAGCGTAACTCTCACCTGTATGTCAAGGGTTCGAGCCTCGTCCCAGGCACAGGGAAGAAGGGTGTTATCCAGTGTGACTCTCACTACAGGCTTCCCGGTCTCGGGTTTCCTCCTGTACTAGATAGACCGACCACCCGAACGGCTAGTAAGGTGATAACTGGTCAAAATGATAAAGAGGATGCACCTATAAAATGTATCAACAGTACGGAGGCGTATTACAGGATTTCCTTCGCTTTATATCTCTCTGTATTTTGTTTATTTTTCTTAAAAATTCTTTGCATGACTCGTCATCATGTCTGTCTCTTTTAAACTTACGAGAGAGTTGATGTCTGTGTCTAGTTGATTCTAATATGGACTTATATACTTTGGGGCCTCAACTGACGCCACCTCGGTTGCTGGAGGATCGGCTTTTTTCACACTTCATTTTTCCAACATTCGCGGCCTGAGATCCAATTTTCCTTCTGTGGAGCACCATCTATTAACCTCTTCCCCCGACCTCTTACCACTATCTGAACTTCAACTGACCAAAGCAGCTTCACCCAAACCTTTTCAAGTCTTCAACTACAACCTTTATACCTCCTTCCATTCTAAGGGAGGTGTATGGGCCTACTGCAACACGCGTACACCTATAGCTCGACTCACGGATCTTGAATCTTCCCTTTATGATGTCATCTGGCTCAAAATATCTCTACCAACTATGACTATTTTTCTTTGTTTCCTGTACTGTTCTCCCAACTCTACCAACTATTTGGAACTTTGACTATCTCACTTCTTGCCATGAGTCGTTGCTATCCACACACCCCAACACCGAGATCCTCTACCTAGGGGATTTCAATGTACATCACAGAGAGTGGCTTGGCTCTGCAAGGGATGACCCAGGTGGAGCTGAGGCACTCTCTTTTTCCCTACTTAATCATTTGGAACAAATAATTAAAAACCCTACACGCATTCCTGATTAATTCAATTTCACTGTTTATTCCTTGATAGAGGAAGGGATCCTAGTGCTGTCACTAGGTACCCCTGTACAATAAATACACAAGAAGCATCTGGCAAGTGTCATAAGTATATACAGTATAAATATTAAAGGGGCTTTATTGTAAAGCTTCCAAGGAAGGAAGGATATTCCATTAACACATAATCAATGTTATTTACATAATACGGGCTAGTATAGAGGATCATCGTGTCTCCGTCAGGGGGTCGGAGGAAAGGTCCAGCAGGCGTCACGGAAGTGTTGTGGGTGGGGGACATCTTAGAGGTTCCTGATCGACACGATCAACTTACTAACATTCT